TGTAGAATGTTGATATATTTTATTTTCTATGTTCATGCTTTAGTTTCTTGTATTTCATGTTTAGTAATTTTTTATATATATAATAGATAGATGGTGTTATAAATTGGCAAGACTTATGTGTATCCATATTACTTTTGGTTTTTCACAATATAAATTTATTATATTTTAACTCTAATTAACTAGGTAATTATTTTATTAATTAATCTAAAATATTTCTCTATTTAAATATTAACTTTTTAAAAATAAATTAAAAATTTATTAATGCAGCAGTTAATAACACTATTGTACCTTTATGCGTTATTGATTGTCGAGACATATGTATACTTATGTTATCTTATTTTGTATGTTTTATCGATATATATAAAAATAAATCTTATTTGTAAAAATTAACAAATTATATGTTTATTTTATTTAATTAAAATTTTTATCTAAAAATTTTTCTCTCTTAAATTATTAAAGAATTTGCAAGTGAAACAATATTTATTTTCATCTAATTATATAATTAATAAAGTATATTTTTTATTTAATTTTATTAATTTATCAAAACATATTATATTTTTTATATTCTATTATCCGATATGATTTGTTAATTATAAAATTAAAATTAATTCACTTAATTAACGCAACGATCTATAATGTTATTGTGTAACAACTTTATCTTTATGCATTATTAGTCGTCAAAATTAATGTGTTCCTAGGTTACCATTGATTTTATGCGATATAAATCGTCTAAGTTAAAAAGTTTTTTTTAATCAATTGAGTATTTTGCCCATTAAAATATACTCTTTCAAATATTTATTAATTAAGTTATATATATATATATATATATATATATATATATATATGTAGAACTTTTTTTTTTTATCAATACAACAATTTACAATTTGTCTTAAATTAAGTAGATAACTATTTCTTTGATTAATATAAATATCATTTTTTAAACTTTTTAAATAATTAACTAAACCCTAAACCCTAAATTGTACAAAAAAAAAAATCTTTGTATATCAAAGTTACCTTAAGTTTCATGCAATAAAGTTATTATTAAAATTAAGCTATATTTATAACTCATTTTTATTAAATAATTATATTTATTAAGTAATATAAATTTTTTTTCCTCTTTAAATATTTATCCCTTTATTAAATAAAAATTAATTTTATGTTTAAAATAATAATAGCAAATTATGTTTGTTTTTTCATCTTATCATATAATATTTTACGATGCCGATGTGTGATTTACGTTACGTTTGGTTGACAAATAAGTCGTGTGAGATTTATGTATAGTTTACGTAGTCTTAGATTTTTCAATATCAAAATTTAAATTAAATGTATACTAAAATTACTACTCTTGTACAAATTAAAATATTTTGTCTTAATTATCACACTTTTTTTGCAATGACTTACAATAGAATTTGTGATTCTCCTTTACCTTTCGTATCATTTGTTGTAGGATAACATGTATAGTTGCGCTGTCTTATATCCTGAAAGATATAGATTATTTTTAAAAAAAGAAGTATAATTAATCTTGAAACAATTTCTTTAAAAATATTTCCTTTAAAATCTTATAAATTTTAAATTAATAAAGTATTTTCAAAAATTTTATAAATTACGTGACTTTGAGTTCTTCATTGCACCTCCAAGGATACATAAAAGCGGGAATTAGACTCGTCGAGTTAAAATAATTTTAAAAATAATTTTTTTCTTCTTCATAAGATATGACTTAATATTTTAATAAATAAATTTTTTTTCTTTAAAATAAAAATAACAACATTTATTTTATGGGTTAAATAAATACTTTTCAAAATTATAATAAATTTATATAATTAATTTAAGGTAACTATTATTTAAACGGATGTTGTAAGGTGCTAACACATTCTCTACACGTAAATGACTCCCGAATCCTTTTTTAGTTTCAAAGATAAAGATTTTAAGTTTTTTCGAGGTTTCCTTTAATAAACTTTGGTGGTTACTCTACTTATTTCTTTTTCTAAAAATATTTTTGTCATACTGTTGCGACCGCCTGACTGCGATATTGTCAATTTAAATAAGTATTTTTAAAATATTTAAATGCCTTTGTGCATATACTCTACAACATCACCAACATAGCATCATCTAATTTGCATTTGGACAATAGTACATGTCATATAAGACTTTAGGCCACCCAACCATCTAGAGAGCTCATTATACAATTCTTCTCAGTCGCAATATATCATAGCAATATCTTTCAATTTGGCTAACCACACATTTCTATAAATTATCTTGAACATCAACTCTAACTCCACTAATGCTTCCAGAGGTTTCATGGCAAACATCAAATTTGCTTTCATTATAAGCTATATGTGAGCATAAATAATACGATAATCTATCTAAGCATGTTAATTCATAGATTATGGAAAGACATGTGTGCAGTCTTGTCAGCTTTCACACTTCACGTAGATGCAATTTCTGGTAAAGAGTGTTCGTATACTCCAATTACATAATTAAGGTCATTCTCTTCATCATTTTCATCATCCTAGTGTGGCACAATAAAATCAAAATTCCTAACCGAGCTAACTTTTGTTATTGCCTATGGATTTAGTTGTAATATCTTTTCAATCTATCTGATAAAGTATTTGAAATTTGAAGAAGATACCTCATCATTGAGTTGTGCACTTCATGGCAAGACACTTCAAAGGATGGGACTGCATTAGATCTAGGAAGTGATGGATCAAAAGTTGAACCTCTTAAGCTAAAAGGATCAACTTAGATTTTGACAAATAGTTTTATTATATGATTTTTAGCAAACGAGTTAAAATAACTAAATATGTAATTAATGTGCTTATCTTTATGAATTTATCACCTTTTATATTGGACATCATTTGACATAATATCAATTGACATCCTATAGAATATTTTTTAGACTTGCATGTTGTTTTCCTCGTACTTTTTGAATATTTGGCTCTCCAATTATAGCAAACTATTTGATGGACAGATAACCAATCGAGCTTAATTGTCACTACAAAATGTCAACCATACATTGTGGTTACAATTTCATCATTATAATATATAAAAACATGAACATAACTCTTTGTTATCTTAAAGAGTTATCTCACTATTATTTTCACACTCGATCTCAAATTTTCTTTTAACATGATAATGCAGATCTGAGAATTCTCTATTTATAATTGAGGAGCATGTTAAAGTCGAGTAAAACTAGTTATACAAGTATTTTTCAAAATATATTAATATGTATGTATAAATCTATTATAATTGACTTCTACATTGAACTAAAATCTTTTGTAGTTAACTTCTACATTATAATAAAGTAAATTATAATAGTCTTAAAAAATTTATTATAATTAATTTTTACTTTATCATTAAGTCAAAATGCAATAGTTTTAATTGACTTTTGTGTAATTGTTGTTAAAACTTTAAATGAAAGTCCATTTAAATTGAATTCTATTACATACAAAATAAGACGTATTTAAAAATATATTCAAACCAAGACATATAATAATATATTATTTGTTAAAAATCCTATAAAAGATGACTTAAGATTGGAGATAAAATCTTTAATAATGAAAATGGTATTTTTTTTTTAAAAGAAAATTTATTGTCACTCATTTAAAATGTGATATTTCAAAATTAAAATCATGTAAATGATGTATATAAGTTGATAATAAATAAATATAAATTTTTATAAATATAAAAATTAAAAAATGCAATTGTTTAGATATGACGCACATATATTCATAGGTTATTCATGAACTATTCATCTCAAATTTACAAATTTTACACTTGTATACATAATTAAACTTTAAGTTTGGACTTGATATTTTAACTGAAAAAATAAACTTAATGAAACATTATATCAAAAGGTCATAAAATTACACAAGGATTATATGTTCGTAGATGCAATAGGCATACAATTGGTTGCCTTTTTAGTATATAGAAAGTGTTAGCTTTTGCAACAATCTTTCAAGTCTTGCCACTTTATATGAGTGATAAGTACATATGATGGCAGATGGACGGATTCCCTATCTGGGGTTTTTCTGGAGAAAGATTTGTCATGTACAGATGTTCTCTTATTTTGAAAGGGGTGAAATTAATTGAGAGAATGATTTTGGACTGGTAATAAGTAGGGTTGAAAGTAAAGTTTGTTTGGGAAAATGTAGAGAAATGGAAATTGAGAAATTTTGAAAATAATGAGAATTAATCTCTAGAGTTTCTAGTACAAGGTTAGGGTGATTAGCGCAGAGTTATTACCAAAAGTCAAATCTCTTAAAAATTTGAGAGAAAGTAGAGATAAATTTGGAACTTAAAGTCAATCTTAACCTACGGCTTCATTTGTTTAATTTTATTCAATTTCTTATCAGAAAATAAGGCATGATTTTATACCTTTGTTTCCCTCAATTTGTTCCCAACAGATGCATAACGTGTACACAAATGGTAACTAATCATAACCATGGGCACACACTTTGTCTCCTTTATACTAGGCATCATCCAGTGGTCCAAGGACACTCCTAAGTAATAGTGGTGCCAAACCAACGGAAACATGTGCAGGACTGAGATTAAGGTTGGCAATTTGGCTTAGTTCCCCCTTCAAGTAAGTAAAACAATGATGGGGAATTTTAGCCCATTTCATTGTTTTAGTTAACAAATATCCATCATAGTTCATAGTTCAAAGGATGATTGAGGCACCAAATGGTAGGTAATGGGTCAGTGCACTCTCATTAGATAAGGTAGTGGGGGGTCAACCTTGCCCCCACACTATGCATTGATCATTCAAAACATAATAAAGCATCCCCAACATCGCACAGCTTTTAGTTTCCACTTTACCATTCAACACTTCATCTTTTCTTCAATCCATAAGTTGGTAGCTTCATATCATATGCCATACAATTTTGAAAGGTGAAAGATACATGAGAGGAATGAAAAGCAGGTTTGGTAGAAAATTAAACTTCATCTCAACCATAAACAACTTGTAACATGGCCTAGTCCTTCAGAAATGTTCAAATCCACCAATGTGTGATCAAGATCAAAATGTCAACAACCTGGCTAAGTTAGAGTTTAGCCTCAGTGGAAGTGAGGATGATAAGCAGTCTGAGGAAAAAGAAATGGAATTGGAAGTCACACACACGAAAGGGTGCAAAGAAAAAGAACTTGCTGAGGAAAACTTAGTGGCTACTTCTAGTCCTAATTTGACCAACTTGGAGCATAAAAGCATGCAACAACAACTATCTCTAACAGATTTTGAAGATATATATCCACCCGGTGGAAGCCAAGAAGTGATTCTCTACACCACAAGCTTGAGAGGTATAAGAAAAACCTTTCAGGACTGCAACACAATACGGTTTTTGTTGAGAAGCTTCAAGATAAAGTACCAAGAAAAGGATGTTTCTCTGCACTTGGAGTATCGAGAGGAACTATGGAAGATCTTGGGTGGCAAAGTGATCCCTCCAAAGCTTTTCATTAAGGGGAGGTACATTGGAGGAGCTGATGAAGTTGAAGGATTGCATGAGATGGGTTGGCTTGGAAAGCTTTTGGATGGAACACCAATTGACTTTGTTGATGTTCCTTGCAAAGGATGTGCCTACATGCGGTTTTCTATTTGCTCCAATTGTAATGGTAGTTGCAAAGTCGTCACCAACAACGTGGATAACAAAAATGAATTGTTCATTAGGTGTCCCGATTGTAATGAGAATGGACTTGTGAAATGCTCCATATGCTGCTAGAAATTAATATTTGATATCTAACTTAGAGCAATTAAGTGGCCATAATATGTCACTTCTTGATGTGTGTGTATTTTTATTTTTATTTTTCGTTTATCATCAATTTCTGGGTTTTCATGTAATGTAATTTCTGATCTATCTTATAGTCCTTAGACATGGACATTGTGCTAAGGTTCTTTAGACGTAAGAACTACAAGCTAATTGTTTATGATTAGTTCCGGTTATTGACTAAATGAAATTTTGTGTTCTATGAGAAGCTATTTAGTTTGATAGCGTTAGATAGTTTATGTAACTAATTTTATTTAGTGAGATAAGTCTTTATTTTACTTATTTGACAAGGCATCTAATTTTTTTGCCGACTTAGATTCTTGTATGCTGATGTGAAAGAGTGGAAATGTGCAATTAGCATATTTCTTTAAGGTTGTATTTTTAAAAGCATAAAAGATTTTGTAAAATTTGGTGTAGGGTAGCATGGGATAAGAGATAATGAAAAGGAACAACACCTCATATCATGATAGCACTTTGGAAGTTGCTATTTTCAAATGGCTTTTGATTACAAGTTTCGCCGCAAAATGTGATAGCAGATAGGTGTTAACTATCGAAAGGCAACAAATGCATATCATATTCTGATTTTATTAGAAGAAAGTAAATTTTTGATAAATGCTTGGCAGACAAATAATTGACCCATCCGATTTATCTTTATCACCAAAGTTATTATGAAATTAAATTCATCCGTACGTTTTGGGTGCAAAATAAGACACTATTTTTTTAACACAACTGCATTTACTAACTAACCGTGAAACTTGAAATTACAAATTAAATTAAAATAACTACCGGTCAATTAATTCACATATTTGGTGGTATAATAATATTTACTTTATATAAAAATATATTATCTCGTGTATAATATAAACAATTTATTAGTCAGGATATGTTAACTCTTGGGAGACCGTTATAACATGCTATTTGATATATTTTTAGATTACTCATTCTATTGTAATGTCATGTAATAGTTTAAAATTGTTATTTCAGAAGGGATCAATAAATTATAAATTTCTAGACTTAAAATTAATAACTTTCGGATAAGACATTAATGCTTTGGTTGTAATGTATTGTTCATAATTTTATACTTTTACCGGCAAAATTTTATGACTTAAGGGTGCATAACGTCTTAATTTATATATTTTTGTCTAAATATCAAGCTAACCCACTTCTTGTCCAACATTAATTACCCATAACTAGATGAAGTCCAAATCCAAAAAATTCCCCTCAATTGAACCTCATTATGAATTCACTTTCAAAAAGTGAATAAAGAAAAGCGATGTATAAGACTGGGCAAGCCTGGCTATAAAGCCCACAAGAAATATTCTTTTTAGAACTTGTGATCATGTCTATCTATACTTATCATCCTTCAATCCTCAAAAAGGTTAAATTATCAATTAAATAGGGTAAAATTCATTTTCACTCTGAAATGCAGCCCTTTTAAACTTATTTCTTGAATTTTATACATTATTTTCTAACCTCACATATAGTTTAGTTTATAATAAAAATATTACCTTTTTCAATTATTTGTCTAGGATTTCAAATATTTATTTTTTTTAAAAGTAATCCTGTTCAAAATGAAAATAATCATTATATGATAAGATTATTTCTTTTCATTAGCTTTTAATGTATTAGCCTCAAACTTAAACTTGCTTAAAAGAAATTAGGCATGTACTATCTAAACTACAACTCATTAGCAGTTAATTTTTCATTTGAATTGATTTTTGGCAAAAATTATAAATAAAATAAAAATTAAACTTCAGATACCTAAAATCAAGTTTCAAGACTAACTTTTAACCAAGTAAGAATTTATAGACCATTAGGTAGTAAATAGCGAAACTTTAGCAAAGTTATGTAACGAAAAAATGTTATTAATATACATATAACACATTTTTTTCAATATATTACTTCTTATTTTTGGTTAAAAATTATTAAAAATTAAAAAAATATGAGTTTCATTTTTAGTTTAATATTCTTTTATTATACTTTTATAGTTTTTAATAAATTTTAATCAATATCTAAAAATATGTTAAAAGTGTGTTCCTAAATTTCTTTAAGTAACAAAGAAAAACTTTGTATTTTGTAAAGTTATGTTGACTTGAGGTGTATATATATCATATTTTTTTGTTTAATTGAATAATTAATGTTAACATTTTCACTTAAAAAAATATTAAGGATATCAAATGGATATACTTTGATTAATTTTTTAAGAGATAAATAGGAAAATAATAAATATTTTTTAGAGGGATAAAATTTAGTTGATATTAATACATATTATCTTATTAATAGGCTCCATTTGGATAAATTTTTCAAAAATTATTTATAAAATAAAAAATAATAAAATTTCTTTTTCATAAACTAAAAATTTTTGTACTTCTCTAAATTTTTAGAAGTTCGGAGAAGTTTTTTCATGTAACTTCTTTAAAAATTGAAGATATAAGTTATTTTTCATCTTATAAGATATTTTATTATTTTTTATTGATAAAAAAACATCTCTACAAATTCACCCAAACAAAATCATAATTGAAAAATAAAGAAAAACGTTATTTTTACGATAATAAGATGTCATGTAATTTATATCTTGTATAACAATGATAATAGGTAAAATTTAACTAAGACACTATATAATATTGATTTTTATACTCATTTTAAAAAAAAATAATTACCTTCAAATTTATACCTGTAAGTATATATCTACAGTTCTACAAAAAAAAAATATGTATTAAAGTTAGCTATATGATGCATTCCATCAATACTTAATAGAAATATTAATAAAGAAGTTATTTTTCACACTTTAGAAATCTAAGTGGAAATACATCTTTTTTTAAAAAATTAAGGACTAACATGCATAAAATTCAAACCATAAGTATTAATTTGTATTTCTCTTTGTAAATTATTTAGACGAAGGGGAAGGGACAAAGTGACAAACACTCGAGTGTATAAAATGAGTGAGACATTGCTTGTCGATGATTAGGAATAGCATTTGGAAACAAACATGCATAATGCAATATTTGACCTAATTCATACCCATTTTTATGTTATGTTTTCCTATTTTTGGACAAGGTGTGGAAAAGTGACGTGCTTTTGCTTTTATCGTCCCTTCAAAGAAATTATCTTTAGAACACACAAAAAAAATTTATCTAACATCGTAGATATATGATAGTTTTTGTTCTTGGTAAAGTTATTTATTTGTGTTTGAAAAAATCATAGGGTATGTAAGCTTTAGGCAAATTTAGAAAATAAATATAGAAAAAATCTAGCTCAGTTAGTAGATAATTGAATCTTTTTATATTAATCATGATCAATTCATAGCTTGTCAACATGGAAAAAACTTTGTTTAAGAAGTTTGTATACTTTCAATAATTTCTCTAACTTGTAAGCAATAATCAGACTCTAGCTTCCAGCTAAATGATACTCTTGATGCATAGATAAAGAAAATTTATAATTGACACCATTACCAAAAATAAATAGTTTTAAATTTTAATATTTTCTAAAATTACAACTATTTATTAGTTTTATAATTTAGTTTTAATTTTTCATTTTTAATATCAAATTTAATTTAAATTTGAATCACTTATATTGGACACAGATCAACTAACAAAAGACTATTTTAATTAAGATAAATTCTGTAGTACTCATAAATTTTTTTTAAAGTACTGTACATAAATTTTTTTAACTAATAATATTTAAATATATATTTAAATAACAAATTATTATATTTATTACATTTGAATAAGTTGAAGAGTATTTAAGTTAAAATTAAATAAATTAAAATTTAAAAATAACATAATAATATTATATTAATATATTTTTTATATTCTTTATTTTATTATTATTATTATTATTTAAATATTAAATTAATATATTATTTATAATTATTTTATTTATAATAAATAAAAATTATTTAAATATTTATTATATTTTATTTGAAACTAAAAATTTATTAAAAAATAATATAAAAAAAATTTAATATAATATATATAATAGGACCATACAATAAATAATATAATTTTAAATAAATTATATAAAATAATATTTTTTTTAACTTGTTGTCATGTGTCTTTTATTGATATAAATTTTTTAAATATGATACCCATAAAAAAAATCTTAAAATATCACGTCACACAACTTTAATAAGTAATCTTAAATTTAAGTATTAATTATGTATTTATACTTATATTAAATACTAAAAAGAAAATTTTTTAAAAATTTTAATAGTCTAAACAAAAAGAATCACTCATCAAATTTTCATTTGAATTCGTTTAGTGGTAATTATTGTTAATTAGCGGGGCTGGACTGGTAGTGGAGCAATGCAATGCAGAAGTAGTTGATCAGTGGCAACATCAACGATGATGCTTGGATAGTAACAGTAGTAGTAGTATATGAGTCTTTTAGAAGTGATGAAAAAATTGAATTATTTTTTTAAAATTTAAATTCTATAATTTAAAATTACTTTATATTTTAAAAATAAGCTAAAAAGGTTTTAGAGTAAGTTAAGAGTTAATTTAACTCAATTTTAATTGAAATTATTTCATTTTAAAATTTATATATAACAATCAAAAGTTAAAAACTAACAGCCAGCATCACTAGGTTCTTAAGTTTACTGAAATTTTTAAGTTTTTATCTAATTATATCATTTTAAAAAAATAAAGTTAACTAAACTTGCCTATTTCAATTCTTAATTCAAAAAAATAATTTTTATACAAAAAATTATTATTCTCGTACACGGGGAGAGAAAATTTCATATTTAAGCGAGATTTTAGAGCAAGTCATTTTTTTTTTAAATAAAGCTATAACTACTCTTAAGTCATTATAATTTTGATTTAAAAAATATTTTTTATCAAAAGTTTCATAACTTTATTTATTGGCTTTCAATGTTTTAAATTTTTACATTTTTATGAGATTTCGATTTTTGTTCTTATAAGTTTTTTATATTTTTCTTAATTTTTTTTAAATTCTGCACTTTTAAGACTGATGACAATGAGGATAACTAAAAATTATAATGGCCTCGTCATTTTCTTTAAATTTTGTTGACATTGATCTCTCAATTTGATTATAAACATTTAAAAATATTTATTACTTTTTATATTTTTGAAGTGATAGATAATGTTTTTAATAAAAATGTATTACATTTAATTATTTATCTTCGATTCTAAATGATAAGGTCAATGTTTTATCATTATGAACGAATAATGGATTAAATCTTTAAAGTTGTCTTAGCTTTTTTTCTTTTCAACAGTCAAAAGCGGAAGAAAGGAATATGCTATCTGCCATTAAATTGTACTGCCACCTCAGTTTTCCTTGCGTTTGGGCAATAAAAAGCATAAAATCTTGTAAAAACAGTTCCATTTGCATAGATTTTCCTCGTCGAAAATAGAAGAAAATTTCAGCGAGAGAATAGAAAAATACATTTCACTTGCTTTATACCAAACAATAACAAAAGTGAGATGAAACTAAAGTTAAAAGTTAAATACTTTGTAAACTAGATAAAATATTTCAGTCTAAAATATATGTATCCAAAAGGTATTGATGTTAAGATGGATACAAAGAATATCAATTCATCATGCTAGTAACAAATTGTACGTAGTAAGAAACACGTTAAAAAAAGTTATAAACAGAGATTTAATATCAAAGTTCTAATTAATAATATTAAAATAAACATAAATTTGTAACCATGGAGAGATATGTTGACTATCACTCTGCAGAAAAGTCTAACAGGTATTCACATGATGCACAGTTCTTCCACTGTTGATAATATCTATTCATGCACGATGCAGACCTTATATGCTTGTAGATTACACGTGTAGCTAATAATAAACTCGCCGATTTTCTAGCAAAATGGAGCATTGATTATAATTGATATAATTTGTATTATCTATTCTGCTTTGTTTGACTTGATGCTACAATAAGTGCCACTAACCCAAGAGACTGTTTTACGTTACTTGTTTAGTGTTCTATCACCAAAACTAAGGACAAAAAATAATCCTTCACATAGTGAAGAAAATGGGTTTAAAGACATTTCAATTCGACCAGTAAAAGTTATAGACACTTTTTTTAACTAAAATATCCAATGTGAGAATGAATTTTTTTTTTAACCAGTTCTCTTCGTCAAACATTTTCTTTCTAAATCGCAAATATCCACGGTAGACAATTCTGCCGAAACTGAGAACACCCCATGGTATTGTTAATCCTAGCTTTTCCAATGAAAGATTTTTCTCTATAAGATTCGAACCCAAAAATATTATTTTTGAAAAATTATGTACCACAAGCTAATCACTCGTTAATAATCATTGTCATTGTCAAATGTTTGACAATACGTTAAAATTAAATTTATTTTTAATGACTGGAAATCGAAACTACAATGAAATGCATTTTTTCAAGCAAAACTAAATTGTTATAGATATACTGACAGAACAAAACGAGGAACGGAAAACCAATATCTAATTTTCCTGTGTAACTCCGAAGACCATACCCAATTGTTCATACCTCTGCTATCAGTAAATAATAAATAAATAGAATCTTGGAATCATAGTGCAAATGTTATAAAGCCAATTCACAAGTCTTTTGCAAACTACATGTTAGGTGCCAAAAGTTTAAGCTCACATGAAAAGCAAATTACAGAGACATTTACAGGATACCCCTCACTAGAAAGATTTGGCAAAACAAGGGGAGCCTTTTGTTAATTTCACTTCAAATCAGAAAACACTCTGAGGTAGTAAGACTAGTTAGAGAAACCGCATTTTCTTTAATTTACAGTACAACAACTATGTGGAAGCCTCAGTTACTGCAAGAGCAAGAGTCTCTGGCACAGTCATGGATGCTTCAGCCACTGGAGGTACAGAATAAGACTGCAACAACTGAGTGTAGTGAAACTCAATTTGTAGTCTATGATGAAACGGGGTTTGAGTTGATGATATTAAACCTTTCTTGACATCTGCTTGCAATTCTCTAATAGGAATTGCTGCCAAGAAGCTTTTAATATATTCTTTGCAAGCTTCCTTCCCTCTGCAAACAACCTCCTCCTCCTTCTGACTCTTCAACTGTTCGTCTGTCTCTGCAACAGAATCCACCTCTTTGCCAATTATTTGCTGGATCTGCCCGTCATTCTGCTCTAATACTTCTGCAACAGTTTGCTGGTCACTGGTTGCTTTTTCACCTGACGGCTGAGTAACATCTTGCATTTTGTATATTACTGTGTTGCTGTCAAATTTCAAGATATATGCCTGATTGCATCCTTCATAAAGCCTCTCTCCCAAAGTGTCAATGATGCAGTAAGCATCAGCTTCAACTTTGAGGATGAAGAAATGATCATTCCAACTAATAATATAAATCTGGGGCTCACCATTATTAGTGCACTCCTGGCCAGCATGACTAATCTCATCCCAGATGTTATCGAAAGACATGGCCCCATGCAGAAAATCGAATCTTCCCTCATCCATTCCTTCTGGATGAAAAAAACCAATAAATGACTTCCCAGGAACCACAGAGAGGGGTCGTATTTTGGCTTGAATGACAGTTTCAAGATCGAAATGCTTGTCAGGGAATCGCTCCCTATATGTCTGGTTTTCACATAAGTTCCTCCATTCTAACGAGCCTTCTCGTATAAGACTGTCAAACTGAGATTTTATTGGCATAAGATCGTGATTGTTTTGGAACCAATCAGCAATTACTGCAACAAGAGCTGTACATGCGCTCTCGCCTGCTGCACGTTCACTGCGCTGATCAATTGTGGCAAAGAACATCTGTGTCTGAAGTTTCATGTGGCCATCACGACTCATTACTTCTTTCTGCTCCCAGCTCCCAACAGCAAAATTGTCATCCCCAAATTCAGATACTGACGATCGATTAGCACCTGAATCGTCCTCAGTCTTCTGTGACCAGCAAACAGCGTGAAACATCAGTACTGATAAAAACTAATTAACAGTAGTTTTTCACATGCAACAAAAGTTGCAGAGAGGTTCAGAAGTTACTGTCACTAATTCCTCATTAAAATGGCTTATCACATATGCCAGATTACTAGTCAATAGGTACTAATCAGTAATCACAAAGTCCAAAGAAATCAATTTTCAGGACACCAGCAATCTATTATCATGTTCTTTTATGCCATAAACATGTAGATCAATGAAATCAATGAAAAGGAAAGAGTAAATCCTTACCCCGGGTGAAAGGGATTCATCTGAGCTAAGCTGTCGACGATCATAATCAATGTCATCGCCGCCATCCTCTCCGTAAGCCTTCTTCAACAGTGGCTCTCCTTTAGACTTAGGAGATCTGAAACTCAACTTCCTCTTCCTCCAAGGCAATATGCTGCGCCTCGAACTCTGCAATACATAAGGCTCAGAGGATGAAACACTTGAATCCTCTATCTGCGAACCCCCAACATCTGACTTGTGCTTGCTGTAGTAAACCCAGTCTTCATCTTCACCAGTCACCCTCATGCTAGAATAAAATGATCCCCCAGCATTTGCATATGCCAGTTTTCCATAACTGAATGACTTCCTCACACTGGAATCCTCCTTCACCTCATCTGAATCACCGTCCTCGAAATCATCAAGCGAGTCAGAGTCAAAAGGGTAATTGTATTCACCATCCTCACTCCTAGCAGAGAAATTCCCTTCACTTCCCTCTTCCTCACGACACGCTTTCTTTGCTTTCCTAGCAGACACAAACTCTGTCAAAATCTTCACTTTTCTCAGACCCGCTTTAATCGTCGAAAGCTCATCTTTCTCTACCAAGGTAGTTTCTCCAACGGGTGAAGGCAAAGGCACTATTGATTTGTGAACTAACTCTGTGCTCTCATGAACCGCTCTTAGCTCCACTAAGCTAATTGATATCTACATACAAAGAAAAACTATCACTATAAATACAAAAACAACAAATATGAAGACTCAATGTTGAATCAAAGCATAACTACTATAGTATCAATTGAACCAGCCTATAACATAATAACACAGTGAGTAAAAAGTTGTGGATGAACACACATACACTGAGTGAAGGACAAGAGTCAACAGAACCAGAAACAGTGAGCGGAACGTTCAAATCAAAATCCTTTTTATCAACCGCAGATGCAAATTCAGCTAGATTCAAAGATGCAGTTCCAATTACAGAAACCTTGGTCTTTGACCTTTCATTTAACCCCTGCAATAGAGAACAAACCAATTCAAATCCATTTCCCAGAATCAATAACAACATTTTTAAAAAAATCCAATTTACCCACAGAACATTTTTTAAAAATAGCCAATAAAACACAAAATATGGGAAGTCAAAAAATTCCCAAATTAAAACATTTTTCTAACCCAAACTAAAAATATAATTTTTCAGAAATTGAAAAGATGTGTGTGTGTGTGTGAGAGAGAGAGACAGAGAGAGAGAGAGAGACGGTGAAGAGAGATAAAGCGATCTCCCAAGGGTGAAATGCATTGTCCTTGTAAGCAGAGAGGGTGCAAGATGTGTGAAACTCCTCGTCCCAGAAAACGACATCGTTTTGGTCAGGTTGTGCTTCTCCGGTGAAGTTTCTGGCGACGGCGTTGCGACGAAGGGAGCTAAGGGTGAGTTTGGGACCCTTCCACCTAATCTCGAGCGCAAACCCTTTGCCTTCACTCTGCCGCACCAGATCGCAGCCGTGGAGAGTGAGAGTTCTGACAACAAGCTTCACCTCGTACTTCTTCGACACCAGAGGAGGCCACGGCCTCCACTTCATCATCTTCACCACCATCTTGAGCCGCTTTGAGTTTTCCACCAAAACGGCGTCGTTGGTTGTGTTCAAGTTGAAGGCGAAGAAGGGAAAAGGAAAAAAGAGAAAGAGAAGAACGGAAATGAAAGTGGGATCTTTGGGAAGGATTCCAGCGCTGTTATATTAACGCCATTTTGTCATTTTTGTGAGGTACAAAGATAATATTGGTGCAATTAAAGCAACTTCCATTTTTTTTTCCCCTTTCATGATAAGACATTTATCATTTTTTTATTGTTGCTTTTGTTTCATTATTTCAAATTTGTGTAAGATTTTAAAATTAAATATTTTTAAAATTAGTATTATCTTAGGTTATGTTTTAATGTTATTTTCTTAATATTTTCTCAATTTTCTTAAAATTATAATGATTACTCGTCTAATTAATTTTAATAATATATATAAAATATATATATATACACAGTTGTTTAAAAAATATTTGAATTATTTAGTAGGGAACTAGGCTGAAAAGCTAAGTAATTATAATTTATTTATATATTATTAAAGAATAAAATTATTAAAATTTGTGAAACGAGAGATAAGTTTAATTTATATAAATTTGTAAGATTTTTATTTTAAAAAGAATATTATTTTTTCTCCGATAAGAACTTATATACTAACTCACCTAAATTAAAACGTAATTTTATTATAAAAAGAAAAAAGAAAAAGTGATTGATATTTTGTAATAATAAAGAATTGGTTTATTACTCCAAGTAGTCCTATATAACAGTGGATAATTGTCTTAGAAGGATCCAAATTCCTGTGGATCCTCAGACTTTGCTTATTGACAAAGTGTAAAAGGAGTAATTGCAACCGTTAGCCATTATTATCATCTCCATCAATTCCAATTTCACCTTGCTGCTTTACGCGTAAACCTCATCAAGCGTTTCTCTCCATCCACCTTCATTCTTCTAAAGAGACTAAAGATGTCAAATATAAAATTTAAATTATTAAATATTTTTCGTTTACACATTTGCTCATTTAAAAAAATTCATTTATTAAACACTTTGCTTTCTAAACTTACTTGTATAACTTCAAATCTTAAGCCTTAAGTATATGTAGAATTAATACGAAGGGCAATCTATCAGATCAATGAATACCCTATTTGTGCCTATAACGTGCTGATAGATTACACACACTACAAGAGCATGGGCATAGCACATGGTATTGATTTCCTATTACTTACAAGGAAAGTATGAAAATAGTTAAATACAAATTGACGATGTTAATAAGATTAGCACATAAGAGAGACAACAACCTTACGACCCATTAAACTCTTGTTTTTTCTTTTTAGATGTTGTATCACAATTTTTTAATATAAAGTAACTTACACGACCAGAGGTTGGAAGAGGACGCTGTACTATTTGTAATGTACTCATTTATACATTGTTATTGTGAGCTTTAAATTTCCAAGTGGAGGAAGGTGCAATTTACTTTTTGTTAAAAAAAATTTGTTCCTGTGTTTCATGTAATTGCTGATGATATCTCTTCTCACTCCTCACCCAGCCTTTAACTCAAATTCACACCCAATCCTAAATGTGCTTCATATATATTACTTTTTTTTAAAAATATTTATTTCAAAATTTAAGATCAATTTCAAATAACTAATTATAGTAAATTTTTATTTATTTTTAAATTTGTACAAATATTGAGAAAATAATTGGTATCTCATTTATTATATCATTTATCTATATTAATTAACATTTATCGGTTACTATCTTCTCTATCAAATAAATTTAATCATTAAAGAAAAAATTATAAAAATATTAATTATACATTGATTTTATAAAATAACAACAATATTACAAGAAAACAAAATATAACTTCCCTGCGTAATATTACAAGTCATTCATTAAATTGAATGGATATAGTTAGATGGATAAACAACAAAGCTGATATCTCTCCTAACTGACTAACTCCTATCACGGAAAAGCATAATTTTTTTTCAAAGCTTAAAAGGAAAAAAAGAAACAAACAACGAGTGAGGGTAGTCAACAACCTTGTTATTACGGCGTTACTCACTCGTCGACCTGGGATACCCAAATAATAATAATAATAATAATAACACTATGACTGAAAACTCAACCTTAACCTCCAACTAACCTCAGCTCAGGTTAACTTCCCAACGTAGTACAGTTAGATATACATGTAATTCAATCTTTTGTGTCTTTCTCTTTCATTTCCAACCCAAAAATTAAGGGCTTACGCGCTTCCGGTTTCAGCTGAAGGATTATATAAGTGAATTTGAAACTTCTTGTTAATTTACAAATATATCAAAGTTATATTGTAAAAAAAAAATAAAAAAGTGGATTAGATTACACATAAATAATAATAGATCTTATTATAATTAGTTTTATCTCTTAAATTTTATAAGGAAAATGCTAACTAATACTCTTAGATACTGATTAAGAAGGTAAAAATAAAAATACTTCATTAAAAAAACAGAAAAATGTACCCATTTTCATGTATTTTTTCAGTATTATTTTTTAGTAAACATTTATTATTTATTATTTTTTAACGATTGTCTTTAAGACACTCGTTAACAATGTTCATTTTATAATATAATATGTCATTGTCATATTAAAAAGGCCAAATCGAGTAAAATGGGATATTCATATACCGAAGAAAATAACATCAAAGAAACGAAATTCCTTTTTTTTTTTTTCTGTTTTCCAATGCTTTTGAAAAAAAATAAAATAAGAAAACAGATCTCTCGTGCTTAGTTGTTTCCTTTATGTTTCTAACTGGGGTTAAATTATCTTCGTTCATCATTCTTTCTGGTCCACCAGTAGTTTTTAATATTAGTAAGCCAACCCTAGCCATAAACTTCTCAGCTATGTAAATTTAATTAAATACATTATTAATCTAACGCACCATAACAAGCCTTTGAATTCCACTTTGAGTGGTGCATGAGCTGGTACCAATGCATGGTCATTGCATAGATTTCATATGTATAAATCCACCAATTCAAAAAGTCAACATTTACGATAAAAATAATAAATGCAACCAAAAATGGTTAGATTTATTTTTATTTTTAATTTTAATTTCGCTCGTGGAGGATGCAAGAAAGTATAGCACACATTTGACTTGATGTGCACCACAGGTCCATCATAATGGCATGTGGAATTGTGGATGTTATTGCTTCAAAAGTTGGGTTGGGATCCTCTCTTGAGCAATCTACATATGCATGTACCGTTAGATCATTTTCTTTTGTAAAGACATCAAGAAGAGAGAGTCTTTTCTTTCTGTGGGACACCATTGCTTTACAGGTTGGCTACTATTTAAGATATGAACTTCTTTGCAAGTTTCCTCAGCCATTAGATTTTAAAGCCTAAACGTATCTCTTCATATAATTCATTAACTCTGCTTCACTTTTAAATTATAATCTCAATTCCTCCTACCCATTTTTTCATATTGTTTTTTCTGGTCATGCCACGATTTGAGGTGTTGTGGAATCCCCACTGGTTTTGACATTGAAACTTCTCTTGTAGTTGCTTGAGTGGGGCACATATAGGAGGAACTTTAATATTTTAAGTTAAATTATTCTTGAGAGATGATCTTTTAAAAAAAAAGAAAAAGATAAACATTCTATTTTTAAGTTAATAATTTTTTATGATATTTGTAAGTAAATAAAAAATTAATTTTATTAATTTCAATTCTTAGCACTAAGTTTAAACATTTAAAAAAAAGTAACACTTTATAAAAAAACATTTATCACATGTTTTTTGTTCTCAAATACTTTTTTTAATAAAAAAATTATTATTATTAATTTTCAACTCAATTAAGTTTAACATTTTCATAAGAAAAATACATTCAGTTTATACGTATAATAAATCTATTATTTTATTTCTAAAAAAATTAAAAAATTAAATAATATTTATTATTAAAAATAAAAATTGTATTCTCTCATCCCTTCAACTTTGAATCATGCTTTTACAAAAGAAATGGATATACACTTAATTTACCATACTAATTATAGGGTTGGGACCATGTTACCATTGTTGAACTATGGTATCCCTTAACTACCCTTATAAGATTCAAGGTTTTAGAAAAAAAAAAAAAAAACTTTCTCTTTGATTAAGATACTGATATTACATGTTAAAAATGGAAAGTTTTATTTAAATTTTGATTGTTAAAATTTATATATACAGTATATTACTTTATTTAACTATTTCAAAAGGTATTTTATATCATTTATAAGATGATTTACTTAAGAAATTGATAAAAGAACTGACCATTCTAAAATAAAAATATTTTAAATATCATATGTAAGATAATATATCTAAGAAATTGACAATATAATAAACTATTTTAACGAGAATATTACATGTAAACACTTTAAAAATATCAAGATCAAGAAAGTATTGGATCAAGCAAGTGATAACTATAAAAATAGAACCATTATCAAGAAGAATAAAGTTATATTAATTTAAAAAAGAGAATGGCACATTTCTTCTCTTACCTTACGTCAAGCACCAAATTTTTTCTATTAAATTCTAACAAATAGAAGGATGTATCTAACTTAAACATATTATCAAGGAATTATATAATTAAGTTAGTGTCAATTATTTAAAGTATCTAAAATATTTCTTACCTTTTAATGTTTATAAAATTTTGAAGATGTCCAAAATAATACCGAAGAATGGTATTGATTAAAGAGACATATTAGAATACTCGGGAGACATCAATACCAAAGAGTGGTATTGCCTAAAGAGACATTAGAATACTTGGGTTTAATTAAGCTTGAAGGGGAAAAAAATACTCAATTTCATAAATTCTTAAGTTCATGTAAGGATTAATAAAACTCTTAATATTAGATCAAGAACTAGACTTAGTCTTGGTATTTAAGGTGAACTAAGTATAGATTGTATGATGTCTCTTTTTCTTTCTCTACAATGATACGATTGTGTTTCCAAAAATCCTTATTTGAAAAGTTTATCAATATTTTGAAAATTAAAAAATTATATTTGAAAACATATTTAACCCTTTTGTCTTATTTTTCAATCTAAAACTTCATTACGATATCATGTGAATTATGTAAACTTATTTTAAATAGTTGCTAACCTTACAACTAGGTCTAACTCAAACCTCATATTGGGCTTACCTAAGTTGTCAATTTGAAACAATACAATCATTCAAAAAGGTTGTTGCTT